AATCATTAATAGTAGTTTTAATTTACATTTTGATTGTAAACAAGCTATTGACAGGACGTCAAATGCTATCATGATGTAGCAGCGCAAAAAGCATGCATTACACAGAGCGAAACGCTTTCTGTTGGTTTTTGTGCTTATCTTGTAGCATGATGCTGATAAACACGGTAATGACAGATGAAAATGCACAATAGACCAAATATTCGTTGACACTTGCACAAATAAGAAACATAGTGGGAACAGCGTGAAAACAACGATGGTTGTTGAGAATAAAAAATTTTATGATGAACTAACACGAATTAAGCGGATAAAAATATATCGTGATGTGTAGTATCAATTAATTGGATCGATGTAACTAAATCAGAAACATGAACTTAAAGGAAAGTGACCAAAATGAAAGTTACGAAAATAAATGGTGATGGCCATAAAAGAAACGTAAATGTGTGAAATGACGAGGTGGTTGATACAATAAATAAATGACGTTTTTAGCAAAAAACTGTAAATGAAATCATGAAAGGCAATGCGAAACATTTTGCAGGAACTATGTGCTAACAAATGATGTAAAAAATAGCAAAATGAACACAATTTACCAGATTGTGATCATCAGCAACGAGGTGATGTATCAATGATGTAATGTATCACTAAATGATGTATCATAGAATGACAAGCTATAAAATGCGCTTGTTTAGTAAAATAAAAACGATAATAACATTCATTATCTGCCAAATGTAAAACAATTAAAATTATAATGACGTGTGTGTATTGATAGGACAAAACACACTCGTCCAAATGTTCGGCCAAAAATGGCACCGGCGTGTTCGTGACGATTAATTTGATCGATCGACTCTTTTTGATAAGAATGCCGTCATCGAATTTTTTTCTTTTACGAAAAAATATAACAATTGTATCAGGAAGCAAAAAATAATTAGAGGCAAAATGGAACAGTGTCAAACGATCAATGATGCGCTGTGTTGACAATAAACACACTGTAAATGTCATACATAAGCACATCCACACTTGTCCGTATTTGTATACAAAATTTGATGTATGATTAAATTTTAAGGTACAAATGTAAATATTTGTACCCCGTTTTGAAAAAAGCTAATGAGAAACACTGGCGTAATATGTTAAAAGCATATTACGCAAGTGGCATTGATAAGAAATGCGAAGTTATAGAGCACAATATTGCATTACATGCATTGTGTTTTTAGGCGATAGTTTTGCCATAAAGCATAGGTATAAAGAATGCGATGATAGTTTCGGCATCCTTACCATTTTTGCATTATTTGTTTTCGACACATTAATTTTATTTTTTTTCGAACACAACACTGATTCAAAGTTTAGCGTTGATAACTGTTTAGTTTATAACAGTTTATTTTCGAAACACGCCGTTTCTGATCATACATCGGATGCAATGCAACTTGTACCGATTTGGCGACTTGATAACATTTTTGGATGTTGTATTATCGATTTGAATGCATGCATGCTTATGAATGTTTTGACAGCCGATAAAAATTTTTATTATCGAAAATAAGCAATTCGCGAGGCGAATGATTTTTATACCATGATCCGTCTTGGTATCATGCGTTTGAGTGCCAGACAGACTTGTCGCATGACTTCGACTGTTTTAGAGTTGAAAAGCATCGGAGTAACATTATAGTATTAAGAAACGACAAACCAATGGTTTGTGTGTCTCGAATACGGTTTTCGAAAGAATTGCACGGATAAACACACCATTATGGTGTTTCGAATACAGTTTTCGAAAGAACAGTTCAGATCAACACGCTATTACGGTGTTTGTGTGTTGATACACACTACCATACAAATAATTTTGTTTTCGAAAAAAATAATTTTTTTTAAAAAGAGAAATTACAGTAATTTTGTTACAATTACCATTAAAGTATCGAAATGTGTATTGAGCATGTGCTGACCGACTCCGAAAGCATAATTTTATCTCGGAGGATATATCGAAACGAGACTACAAAGTCACTGTGCAGTTATTGAATACTTCGTAGCAATGAAGGACGTGTGGTTACTCTCTACAACACTGATGAGTAATTATATCGAGCAATAACTGTCGGGTTTCTAGACATCTATAATTCTAAGCGTTCTTGAGGGTCAAATTTTATTAGTTATTCAAAATGGCTTAAAAGACATAAATTCCCGCGCGCATGGTTGTCAACGCATATAGTAAAACATTCTCATTTTGTGAATACGTGTGCGAAAATTGTGTGTTTATATTGTGTTGTGCATTTATTTGATGTGGGTATTTCGGCACGCGTTACTTATAGTGGCAATTCTATAATTTTCACGTCACCTTCCTTTTTTGTGGCGTTTCTTTGGTGATTTTGTGGTTGCTAATAATTTTGCCAGTTCGTTTGTGCATTGTAAGTCCTGCAGTTCGTATTATTTTGTGTATTTTTGCAATAAATACTTGATTTTAACCTTCTAATCTGTGGGGCTATCGATGACACTTCAATAACATTTTTGACGTGTCCGAATGACCATTTAAGCCAGAATGCCATTTTTAAGCACAGTTTCGAAGCACTAATACGTATGATACATGTATTTAACTGGTGTTTTGCGTGTTACGGGGTAAATAAACAAATCATTTCTTTATATGATTCGTGTATTACTGCTACCTTTTTAGGACAAATAAAATTTTACAGTACGCAAACAAGCGTATCATACGAGAGTGTGAGAGAATGTCTTGCCATACTATATAAACATGTTATATGAGAGCGCTTGTAGTATGTGAAAGTATCTTACTGTACGTGTATAAGCGTATTACATGGGAATGTGAGGAAATATACTACCGTACGCATATAAACGTATTATATGAGAGTATCACTAGCGTGTCAAGTGAGAAGATACATGAGTGTATCCGAATACGTGCACCATTATTAATACGTATTAATCCAAATGACATATCTGTATATGTCATACGTCTCACAATTATGTCAGAGAGCAATTAAATATCTTATTTTCAACAAATATTCTAATGGATGTAACCAATCAAATAGTAGTCGTAATTAGATAAATGTACATTTGCACACATTGTGTTAATAGCCAAAAAAGGAACAAGCACAATAAACCAAGAAGCGGCATGTATACACGCAAACGACCAAGAACACCGTTTACCATCGCATATTTAGCATAAAATACGCATAACAGTAATAAATGCAAATATTTCTACTTTCGATCAAATATATCACCCCTTTTTCCACGAATTTATATCTGATACGATAATTCTGTTTATAACACAGTACAACGTAAAACAACAACCATTAAGTGATAAAACCCATACTTGTTTTGTATTACCGTCTTATACAGTGTGTATGATTATTATATTCCTTTCATAATGCGATTTATTATGAACATTCTTGTTTATGTTCCTTTAGTTATCTAAAATAGCATTTTTCTGCATATCTTAGTCCTTTACATTCCAATTCACAATCTCCAAATACTCCATTTCATATGAACAATCAATACTTTGTAATGGTTAATATTTCATAATAGTAATTGTTTCTAACAATACTTTTGATATTTTGTGAATGTTCCTCTTTCGTTGTAACCATACGTCATTACAACTATTTAATTAACATTTTCTTAATAATCATTAAGCAATACTCTCTAAGTAATGCTCTCCAAGAGATATTCTCTAAGTAATACCCTCTAAGTGATAATCTTTAATTAACAAGGCCAATAATAAACTATCATTACACTAAACTATCATTACACTAAACTATCATTACAATAAACTATCATTACATCAATAACCATTACCACTTAACAGTACCATTAAGTATTTCATTCCTTATCTTTATACATTACCATTCCACATCCATCATAAATCACTATAAAATTACCAAACAATCATTAATTCATTACCATACCATAATTAATGTATAACATGTAAATAATCAAAATATAAATTTTATATTCAACATCCTACTAATGGTATTATCCTAAAAGGTAATAATTCAGAATTGTACATAAATTTACAGAAAGAGCTTACGATGAGAGTACCAGAACAACCCTTTGAGTGTGGTACGTCCTTGCAGTGTGGTGTTGAATGGTTATGCTGTTAAGTGTAGTACGTACGTAACATTTTAATATGGCAGTAATGAATAAGGGTGTAACACATTGAATGTAATAATTATTTCTTTTGTTTGAAATAGCCATACTAAACCAATTCATAAGGAAACTCCTTCTATGCTTAGGTGTATGATAAGAGCAAAGAATCAATGCATGCAATCTTATCAGTGCGTATAGTACCCTTGGAAATACGTTGTATTAAATAAACAGTAGAACAGCTGTACAATAAAATATAACATACGTTCTACAATGCCAGTAATTTAGTTGTTAATGCATTTACTTACTAAAGCATTGATAGCACTGCATTATAACTATTGATGTAGTAGTAAAATGTTATAACGTAGTACAGTAAAGGAAATTGTAATGTTATACTAATAGTTATTATTAGTAATAGTAGGTGTTAGTGGTTATTATTAGTAGGTGTTAGTACTGGTTATTATAGTTAGTAGTAGTAGGTGGTTATTATTATTTGTTATCAGTTATTAATACTTCTTACTATCACTTCTTACTATTAAATCTTATCAATAGTTCTTATTATAAATTTTTCTTCTTATTACTAATTACTATTAAACCTTATTACTATCATTACAACAACATTGTTTGTATCAATTCTATCCTTTGCAACATTGTAATAAACTTAGATTATTCTTAAACATTAGCAGTTTTAGATTGTTAGTACTGTAAAATACGTAAAGTATATTTGGTTGCCTAGACGTATACGATGTATAGTATTGATAACACAGGATATAACCTTTAAAGTACGTGGTTAAGCCGTATTGTATGACTTGCTTGGTCAATGGTACTGCAACGATCAGGAATGCTACTGAGCTACAATGATGGGCTGCCAATGTGACAGACTGTTGTCGATCAGTGGCACACCACGTTGTACAAAAAATAGAAAATTTTGACAAGGACGGGATTTGAACCCGCGCCTTCCGAAGAAGACTGCCACCTGAAGGCAGCGCCATAGACCGCTCGGCCACCTTGTCTCACACCGCGACAATCCGTTTCATCTTAAATATTAAAACAAGAAGCAACTGAAATACGCAATGCACAAACTATTATCCTTTATAGTACTCATTAGCTGCGCAGAAATAGCCCACAAGCCTGCATTTCCTGGCAAGGCAGGGGGTGTCAATAAGCCCGCGACGGGTATGCCGGAGAGCATCGAACGGCCCAGCAAACCACCACGCACCGGCCTGTATTACGAGACAAAGTGGGACCCGCTGCTCAGCTCGAAGACATCTGGCAAGAACATGCAGGACGTGCTTGAGATGGGCGGCCACTATGAGAACCACGAGATTACCACGCCACCGTCGGACCGCTACGGTGATCTAAGCGTGTTCACGCTCAACATTGCAACAGAGATAAACCTGATAACAATTAACCAGGAAACAGCATCATTTATTCATGAGGTGCTCGACCATGCACATCCCGCGGTGTTCGTTCTGCAGGGCGTGCGTGAGCCGGTGCTCGCACGCATAAAAAAGCTTGAGAACCATCACTACGGGATAATCACCGACGACGTGTTTACAAAGGACCCGCTCTCCTCTGCGCACTACTACTTCCCCATTATCATTGACAAGCACATGATACGGCCGATCAAGAGCGGCTACTTCCGCAACCAGAAGGGACAGGTGTACGCATCGTATGCGGTACTTGTAGACACGCGCAAGAATAAGCGGTTCACGGTTGTAAACCTTGACCTGTACAGCACGTTCAAAGAAACTGTGGAAGCGCAGTTCGCAAACATCGTGTCGGACATAAAGGGCGATATGTCAATCAGCAAGGAGCCCGTGATCTTTGCGGGCGGCATCGGGTCGCCCTCATCAGAGATACAAAAATTGCTGCAATCCGGATACAAAAACCTCATCGATCTTGATCCTAATAACAAGGAGCTTGACAAGACGACCGTTCATGGCAGGGTTGAACATTCCGATAACGTACAGCGTGATTTTATTGTGCTGCGCGATCCTGCAACGGTGCTTGATCTTAATTATGCGCGTATTCTTAATGATAAACTTAAAATTGCCGAGCATTACCCTCTGCATGCCATTCTGTCTTACACGAGTTAATTAAAAGTATTTTTGTCAGTGTGTGGTGCTGTTAGACACGGAGTAGAGCAAGAACTGCCGTATTGATGGGCGGCCACGGCTGTTCGGTGCGTATCACAATTCTTTCTACGTATTTATAGATGATGTTGTTTATGCGCACTCTTATTCACAGGTTCTAGATTCATATTTTTAAGCTTAATAATTTATGCGTTTTCTATTTATACATTTAAGTGATTTATGCTTGTGCATCTCACAGGCATTTTCATTTTACACAAATTCTGTTCTATTTTTCTTACCAATTTCCTCTGTTTTATGATTAACCTCCTGTTCTAAAACATTTTACCTACCGATTCTCACCAATCAATCTTACTCTACAACCAACCTAGCACTTATCAACCTACTCACCATTCAATCCTATTCTACAACCACTTATCAATCCTATTCTACAACCACTTATCAATCTTACTCTACAACTAACCTATTCTACAACTAACCCACCACTTATCAATCCTACTCACCATTTAATCCTACTCACCATTCAATCCTATTCTACAACTAATCTACCCGACAATCAACCAATAATTCTAAAACCACCCCCTCATCCAAAACTAATAAAAAAATTTAAATGCCCTTCCAAATGGTAACACAAGGCAAATGCGTATTCTCAGGCCAAGACGTCCCAAAAGCAAAAGGCACCTACAGAGTACAGCACGACGGTCGTGCCCAGCTCACCCGCACAACCAAAGCGAGTTCCTACCTAAAACGCAGCATCAAGCCCCAAAAGGTGTTGTGGACCCTCGGCGCACGTTTCTTCCACAAGAAGGGCGGTGCCGTGCATAAAAAGGAGAGAGAAAGGATTGTACCGCCCAAGATAGTGCGCGGTTTTCCGTGCTTGCCTAAGAAGGCGGTTGAGGAGGTGAAGAAGGGCGTGGTGGGCAAGAAGGAGAAGGTTGAGGGTGTGTTTCAGAGGAGAGGAAAGATTGGAAAGAATGTGAATGTTGGGGTGAGGAGATAAGGAGGATATTAAATGCCTTGATTTTATTTTTTATTTTATTTCGTTATATCCCTCATTTTTTTTTATGCTATTCTCCATTTTATTCTATTCTAACCCTCATTCTATTCTATTCTTCATTTTATCTCGTTATATTCCTTATTCTATTCTATCCCTCTCATTTTATCTCATTCTAATCCTCATTCATTCTATCCCTCTCATTCTATTCTACCCTTCATTTATTTTATCTTTTCTTCAATTAATCTATAACACCCGTGTAACTAAGAATCTATTCAAACCATTCTTAATTTCTATGATCAGTACAAAAAATACTTTCATCTATTAAAGACTGTAAACACGAGTATTGCTATGATCACATGCTCATCATTAAATTGCGCAACATTTATTCTAAACAACGCATTAATTAGTACGTACAGTAAAGCGTATCTATCCGTGTAAGTATCTCTTCAAAAATAACACATAAAATTTACAAATTTTAATTCTTAAGAGGTTTTTAAAATCATTAACACTTGTTTGTGATTATGCGCATAATCGTTACTTTAAAGGATTATCAATACATTACCTTGAAGAATTATAAATAAGTTACTTTAAAGGATTATAAACACAACAATCTTCTCTCCAACATAAGAAACTCACCATTATTTTACAAACTCCCTCATTACTTACTCTTCCCCAATCTTACAATCTCCTCCCTCATTACACAGATAGACCATAATAATAAAACCCTTTTATTTCTTATGGTGCATAAGCAAAGAGCACTCTCCTCAATCCACCCTTATAAGCCCTAGACTTACCATTCCTACATTTCCTAAGCTGTTCCTTACTGAGCTCCATCCTCTTTTTCTTAGTAAGCCTAGGCAAGAACTGCCTAGGCACCTTACCACTCGCAGCAAAGGCAGCAGCAACAGCCTCCTCCTTCTTCTTCTCAGTGAGCACACTCATAACGACCGCAACATTCCTGTGCGCGTTGTAAATCTCGTGCGGCTTGACCGTGTGCGTGTGCTGTTTCTGACGGACGTGCAGCAGTTCAGTCTTGATTTGCTTGTAGCGTTCCTCCAGATCGGGGAGTGGAAGGGTGCGTAGCTCTTTGGCGGATATTTTCATTTTGTGGGGTTGGATAAAAAATTAATTTTTAATGCGTGTTAATAGGTTATGAGGATGAGTTAAAGAGTTGAAGGATGAATGGGTTATGAGGATGAGTTACAGAGTTGAAGGATGAATAAGTTATGAGGATGTGTTAAAGAGTTGAAGGATGAATGGGTTATGGGGATGAGTTAAAGAGTTGAAGGATGTGTTGAAAAGAATGAAAGTAAGGGAATGAATATACAACCAAGAAAAATACTGGAAGTAAGAAAAACAATGAAAGTAAGAGAATGAAATTAAGAGAATGAAGGATGAACAACGTTAAGATTAAGAATCTAAAAATAGTATTTAATATATTATCATTGTTGGGCCGATACATGTTGCAACATAAGGAGTATTTATTTAAGTGATTAAATAGAGGAGGTTAACTGCAGGCCAACAATCATAATTAATCTTAATAGTAATTCTATTATTAAAGAATCTACAACACAGTAAGAAATTAAAGCACCCATCAGAACTAACACTAAGGCTAATAAACAGTAATAGAATTATCTTTAAAGATAAAATTATGATTTACTAACCTTATCATAATAATAAAATAAATGATAAGTAAATGTAGAGTAACGTATTAGAGAGTGTTATAATACTCTACTTAGATTATTAAATGATAGAATATTAGTATTACTTAGTAATGATTGGAATAATAAGAATAGTTTAAAAATAATACCTTTCCTAGGACAGACCTAACCATTAGACCATTAGATCTAACCAATAGACTTAACTCTACCAATAGATCTAGCCCTCCTAACTAATTCCAAGACTTAACCCTCTAACCCATTAATACCTCTCTAACCCCTACTAACCCTAAAACCTTAAATATCCTGTAACACTGCATAAACATCCTTAACGTATTCTCGTACCGCCCTCTCAAGTCTCTCTCTGAGCATCTCTACGCTCATAGCACGCCCACACTTCCTAACCATCACCGTTCCTGCGTTCCTTTCCTTCTCACCTACCACCAGAACAACGGCGTACCCGTCAACCTCCGCATTCCTTACGCGCTTGCTCAGCGTTAACTCGCCGTCATACACCCGCACCTCGTAATCAATCAGAACATCACGCACATGCTGTGCGTACGCGCTCAGCGCGTTACTCACAGGCACGACCGCTACCTGCCGAGGCGTAAGCCAGAACGGCAGGCGTATGCCGTAGTGCTCAATAAGTATGCCAATAAAACGCTCTACACTGCCAAGCAGCGCACGGTGTATCATCACAGGGCGTTCTACGCCCTCACTCGTCTTGCACTGCAGATTAAACCGTGCCGGCAGCTGAAAATCAAGCTGAATGGTTGCGCACTGGTGCCGTCTCTTGAGCGCATCGAGCAGCACAACATCAATCTTTGGCCCGTAAAACGCGCCATCGCCCTCATTCACCGTGTACTCCCGTCCAAACGTGCGCAGCGCCCGTCTCAGGTACTCCTCCGCAGTGTCCCAGTCCTTTTTGTCGCCCAGGTATTTTTTCGGCCGCGTGCTCAGCGCAAGCTCAAATTCAAAACCAAGCACCGCATAAACATGGCGCATAAACTCAAGATTATGCAGTATTTCGTGCTCAACCTGCACAAGCAGGCAGAACACGTGCGCGTCGTCCTGCTGGAAGCGCCTCACGCGCGTTAGACCGCTGAGCGTTCCGCTGAGCTCGTTGCGGTGCAGCACGCCAAAGTCTGCCATGCGAATCGGCAGCTCGCGAAAGCTGCGCACACTACGTGCGTAGAGCAGGCAGTGGCCGGGGCAGTTCATCGGCTTGAGCGCCCACTCAGCGTCATCGACCGTAAGTACGAACA